TTCACAATTATTGACGTTTGACGATTCATGAAATGTTGCTTGTATGTTTGGACATAATAACTCTTCGTCACTTATCGATATGCATGCGTCCACTTGATGCTGTGTCATTGGTCGAAATTCATCATGATGCGGACTGATGGCTAGAAATTCTGTTGAAAGTTTCACTGATAAAAGTGTGTTATTTATAGCTGCCACAATTGGAACAAGATATAACAGTTGAAATTCTCTTGGATCCGTGAGAGATAAGTCGATGCAAAAAATGACATGGCCCTTTGCCAGGATTCCGTTGATCTTCATGAGCCTATATACTTCGAGTAAGTTATTGTGGTGGATAGGTAACTGTAGGTGTGATGGAAGATGTGCCCTAATCATCATTATTTGCTCACTAAGCTGTTGTGGAGTCAGCAGAAGAGGATTTATTTTATCGTGATGACTGTCGATTAGTACGTCCATAATTGATGAGTGAACTCTTTGCAGGTTGGATACCATCATGAGCATTTGCATTGACAACATAAGCATGTTTTGTGTTACGTGTATGTCGTTTATTGCCTCATCTGTATACAACAAGTTATTGATGCGCCTTTCAATTTCTTCAAATTTGTCATGCATGTTTAATTGATTCTTCTTAAAGATATTGATAGTTGAATCAACAAGTGACGTTTGATTTTTAACGAGTTGTTCCAGGTGATTGTCGTTCCTTTTAAGACCATTTATTGTGCTTGACATTTGTGCCGCGTAGTTTGAGTCGAGGACACCAAACAATGAATTTGCAAAATTTCCGACAATGTCTATAGCTCCTCTTGTTATTCTTTTTCTAACAGAAAGAAGATTAAGTTCCATTTGCAGTTCCTCCGTTATACGGTCAAAATAGTTGAGTAATACCTTGCAGGCAGTGTTATCCAATGCCTTGTCGCATAAATTGTTCAACCTTTTTGTTCCATCAGCTAAAATGCTCATTTGTTGTTGGTATGGGGAAAGGTCAAAATATACAATCATTTTCCAATCAGCAGACATGATTTTGACTGGTTTAAGCTGCTCAAAATAAATGCCAGGTTTGTTGTTGAAGGTTGTTATATTGACGGGACTACATAGTGCAAGTGGCAAAATGAGTAGAGTAATAATGGTGAGCAGCAACCCGGAATTCAGACATGATCGTTTTGTCGGAGTTAACCCATTGACTAATGATTCAGGCTTTCTGATGCGATTTAATGGAATTTTTACGATAAGCGACACGGGAGGTGACGTTGGAGTTTCTTGAGTCTGTTCTGATTCGATTTTTCTTTCAGTCATTTTTCCAAATGTTGGATCTTCTAATTTATCGTCTTCAGGAAATAATGGAGCTAATCTATGCACCGGTCTTTTAAATACTCCCTTTTTTGTTTGAATGTCACAAACTCTCACTAAACCATCTTCGCCTTTGTAAACTTTGATGATGCGTCCTAAAGGCCATTGCAGAACTGGGACATTGTCTTCTTTAAGGATTACCATCGTATTGGTCTGTATGTTGGTGATGGGACCCTTCCACTTGTGGCGCTGTTGCAATTCGCTTAGATACTCCTTAGTCCAGCGCTGCCAAAAACTGTGTTTTAGCTCTGATACCAGTTGCCAGCGTTTAAGTAATTTTTCTTTAGAGTCACGTGCATGCACATCAACGCTTGAAGTGATTTCTTCACCTATTAAAAAATGACCTGGAGTTATTGCGTTCAAATCGTTTGCATCTGATGAGCTAGGAATAAGGGGTCGCGAGTTCAACACTGCTTCAACTTCAATAACGACAGTTTCAAGCTCTTCATATGTAAGTGATGCTGTTGAAACATTTTTGACCAGCAAATATTTGGCAGATTTTACTGCTGCCTCCCATAACCCGCCGAAGTGTGGTGACCTTGGTGGAATGAAGTGAAATTCTATGCCTTTCGTACTGCACATTCCTGCAATTGATTCCCTCGCTCGATCAGCGTAGATGACGTCAGTAAGTTCCTGCAACTTGTTTTTCGCTCCAACGAAATTGGTCGCATTGTCGCAGTATAACGTTTTACAGCGTCCTCGTCTTGCTATGAAGTGTTTTAATGCTCCAATGAATGCATCTGTGGTCAGATCAGTCACAAGTTCTAAGTGTACGGCCTTGGTTGCAAAACAGCAAAAGACAGCGATATACGCCTTTTGTGGACGCTTGCCTCTTGTTTTGTAATGAACCCATATTGGGCCACAATAATCAACTCCAGTGCTGAGAAATGGTCGAGCTGGTTGCACACGGTGTCCAGGCAAATGTCCCATGATTTGATGGTACACAATTGGCCTTGCTCTTCTGCATCTTAAACATTGTTGTATTACAGCTCTCATCAAGCTTTTTCCTTTGAGGGGCCAAAAACGCTGCCTCACTTGTGCCAGCAATGCTTGGGCGCCACAATGATAATTGTCTTTATGTATTTTTTCTACCAACAACTTTACTAGTGGATCGTTGCTTGGTAAAATCATTTGATGAATGGCATCAAATTGCAGTGTTGAAGAGCTTAGCCGTCCGCCAACACGTATTACCCCTTCTTCATCTACGAACGGAGTTAGTGAACTGAGGTTATGAGTTTTTGGCACAAATTCGTCCTTAACTAGCATTTTCCTTAGATCAGAAAAATCGGAGGCCTGGATTTGACGTATTATTATCTTAAGTGCTACGTCGAGCTCCATCGGTGAAAGCTGCATGGTCTCTGGTCTTGATTCTTTTGGTTTCCGTGCGTTTTTTGTGAAACGAAGTACATATCCAACAACCTTTTGGACATGAGTAAATAAATTTCTTGAATGAATCGAGTAGACCCATGCATGCTCATTAGTAGGTTGTTGTGTTGATAAAGCAAGCACCACCGTGTTATCTTCAACAATTAATTCCCTTTTGAAGGGAGCTGGCCACAGCGGCTTTGGCTGATATAAAAATAGTGGACCATATAACCACATGTAGCAAGATGAAAATTCCCGCGGTTTAAGCCCTCTTGACAGAATATCTGCCGGATTTTGTTTTGACGGGACGTGACGCCATTGTTCTGGAATTGTTAACCGAAGTATTTTTACAATTCGGTGGGCGACGTAAACGGGTAATTTGCCTGGATGATTGTTTATCCAGGAAAGCACAATTTGTGAATCTGTCCAAAAGTAAGTTGCTTTGTCTTGATAGCCTAAATCAAGTTTAACTCTTGCCATGAGTTCTGCTGCTAGCAACGCTGCACACAATTCTAGTCGTGGAATTGTTTGAGATTTTATGGGTGCTACACGAGATCTGGAGCATAGTAGATTAAGTTTTATCGTTTTATCCTTTTGTACTGTTCTAATGTATACTGCTGCACCATAAGCCTTTTCTGAGGCGTCACAAAAAGCGTGCAGCTCAACATGGCTGTAGCCTTGACTGCTGAATACGTGCCTCACAACTGTTGCATTGTCCAACAAGGCCAGATCTTCTCTATACGATGTCCATTGTTTACGTATTTCTGACGGAAGATCATCATCCCAATCGAGTTTTAGCTGCCATGCTCCTTGCAACAAGATTTTACCGGTGACCAAGATTGGACCAATAAGACCCAAAGGGTCATATATGTGTGCCAAATCGGAGCTCATAGATCGTTTTGTTGTGTGACTATGGTCTCGAATGTTAACCTTGATACGAAATGAATCTGACTTTGGTAACCATAAAAGACCCAGCGTCTTTGTGAATTGGGTTTCCTTGGAATCAAAATTGAGATTTACTTCTTGATCTTCTGTAGCGATTCCATGTAAAAGTTTTGGGTTGTTTGCACACCATTTTTTTAGTTTCATTCCAGCCTTGTCTAGAATTGTTATTAATTGTTGTTGAATTAGTAACGCTTCGTTGATGGTATCAGCTCCTATTAGACCGTCGTCAACATAAAAATCCCTTTTTAAAGATGTGGCGCCATATAAATAATTTCCTTGATATTCATCCGCCAATTTTGTTAGACAGCGTGTTGCTAAATATGGTGCTGCTCTTGTGCCATAAGTAACTGTGTTCAACTGATAATAATTAAGTGGTTCTGTGGGATTTTCTCGCCACATTATGAGTTGCAGATTTCGATCATCTTTGTTAACCCATATTTGACGGTACATTTTTTCCACATCAGTTTTTAAAACATATTTGTGCATTCTAAATCTGAGCAAAATCGAAAACAGTTCGTCTTGAACTTTTGGACCATTAAACATTATGTCATTTAGTGATGGCTCTGATAATTTGTGTACTGATGCGTCAAATACAACTCGCAGTTTTGATGTTGAGCTGTCTGGACGTAGCACACAGTGGTGAGGGATGAAATATTGGGGAGATATTATTTCGCTACCGCTGAATTTTGTCATGTGTCCCAATGCTTCATATTCCCTCATAAATGAAACATATTGATTCTTTAGATCAGGATTTTGAATGAAACGGCGCTCGATTGTCTTGAACCTCTCGTAAGCGATTCCTTTTGTATCTGGTAACACTGATGGATGATTCTTTAGTGGGAGTTTTACAACAAATCTGCCATCACTTCCTCGAAAAGTGTGTTGCAAAAAATGTGACTCACAACGCAATTCGTCTTCTGTGAGTTCCGAAGTTGAATCTGGAATTTCTTCTGATTCCCAGAATTTCAATATAGATTCTTCTAGTTCCTTAGTAGTGCATATGCCACAAGTTGCCGTGCTTGAAATTAAAGTTTCAACATTGCCAGCTACAACCCATCCAAAAATAGAATTCTGAAGTGTTGGAAGACTACCTGCTAGTTTTATTTGACCTTCAATAAGTAACTTGAAAAAGATCTCTGCTCCTAACAGGCAATCTATTCGGCCAGGTTTGTTAAAATCTGGATCAGCGAGAGTTAATTCCTTTGGAATATCCCAGGATTCGATATTCAAATACTGCATTGGCTGATCTGAAACGATTTTTGGTATGATATGTGCATCCATCTCTGCTACAAATTCGTTCAACGTTGATTGTACTCGAATTATTGTTTGATGACGTATTTTTGATTCATTTGCTCCTACGCCTTCCATACTCATAAGCGTTGGCCTAGGCTTGCAGCCCAATTTTTGTGACAGGCGGTTTGTTATGAGATTGATTTGAGAGCCAGAGTCCAATACTGCTCTGCATTCAATTTGTCTTCCATTTGATGCCAGCAATCTTATTCTGGCCGTTCCTAATAAGACATAATTAGATTCCTGTTTGGTATTGTTTGTTAAAAGAGTTATTTTATTTGATGATTGGTTTGAAACTGAAGCTTGACCTGTTTGTTGAGGCGTCGAGTTATTTCCTTGAAGAACAGTACCTTTTGTGTATTGATTCCCCTTTGGATTATGCATCAAAGTGTTATGTTTTTTAGAACACTTAGTGCAGTGCCTTGATTTACACTCATCAGCTCGATGACCAATCCTGAGGCAGTTCACACACAAATTGAACTCCTTAACCCAATTCCATCGTTGTGATAGATTAGCCGTCTCGAATTTTTTGCAAGCGTAGACCATGTGACCGTCTTTATTGCAAATTGGACAGGTTTTACTTAAACCAAATTTTGTAGCTGAAGCACATGTTCGAGTGAATGATGATTCTCCTTTTCCCCTAGCCTCAAGTGATTGAAATCTATGTTCCAAAAATTTTAGCAATTCATCAATGGTTATTAAACGTTTGTTGTCTGATAGCCCTTGTTCGAAAGCTGTTAGAGTTTCTGCATCCAGCTTGCGCAGCAATAGATGTACCAGGATAATATCCCAATGTTCGACTGGAACTCCTTGAGCCTTGAGACCATGTATGCATTCCTTGCTTACATCGTGTAGAGATTTTAATGCTGGTGCCGACTCCCTTTTAATGGAGGATTGTCCCATTAATTTATTTAGGAGTGTTGTAACCAGAAGTCGTTTATTTTCATAACGACTTGTAAGTAAAGTCCAGGCTATATTGTAATTTTCTCCTACTACTGGAAGATGTCTAATTAGCCCCTTTGGCTCGTTATCCAATGATGTAGTCAGATAATGCATTTTTTTGCTGTCACTGATGTCCGTGTTGTGGACCAATTCCATATACAAGTCCTTGAATTCCACCCACCGCATATAGTTTCCATCAAATTTTGGTAGTGATATTCTTGGTAGAGGCAATTCGCAATCTGTCTGTCTTGAGTTGCGAATTGTCTGATTATTATGCAAATGTTGCTGTAGTTCGATCATGGCAGCTCCTGCCTTTTCCTCGAGTTCATAAAACATTTCCAGTGTGTAGTCCTCAATGATGCTTTCGTCGGTAGCTTCCCATAACGTTGTGTTATTTGCCGTTAAATCGACCATATATCCTTCAAGACTGGCTGCCTTTATAGAATAGTATGTAGATGGTTGTTCAACTTGCCTGTTGACCATGATTCCTTCTATCGTTCTTTCAATTACACGTATGAGTGCCTTCTGATTTCGGAGTAGTTTCCGAATGTTTGAATCATTTATCTGATTGTTTTGCTCAATTGTTGTGCCATTGCTTGCTGAAGATGATTTTTCTAGCTCTATTGCTTCAATTTCTAGAACCTTGTTGTAATCGACAATCATTTTAAGAATACTCTGATACTCTTTGTTCACCAAGTATTCATGGTCGTCAACCTTGTCCACTGAAGCCATAATTTCCTGATGATTTTCATGATATTCGTCACCCAATCTTTGCAATTCTTGAATCTTGTCTGTATAGAATTGAGAAGTTCTGCGAGGTTTTCCAGCTTTTTTGCAATTACCAATAAATTGTTTGATTTTGTCGCCCAATGCCTTTTGGCGATCCACTAGCGAACTGAAACCCATTATCCAGTTAGTTGATTTGTTGATTAACAGCCAATTTCACACCTTGTGAAACTAAAGTTGTTTTATTTGTCCTCTGTTAATGCTGACACCAAAGCCTGTATTGATGTGATCGTAGGACACCTTTACGTCAAATTCGTGTTCTTTGTCCTCTTTTGATGCTGACCTTTACGTCAAATTCGTGTTGAATTATCAAGCGATTCACCTGATAATCACGTCGGGGTCACCAAATTAAATGTTAATGTATTAACATCTAAGATATTGAGTTCACAGCACTTAAACTGTAACTCTTTAATTGAAGGTTGAGTTTTCAGCACTTGAACTGAAACTCTGGAAAATGAAAATGAGAGATCGAATATTGGTTTCAATCTGAATTTTATTAAATTAAATTTTTCCTTAAATACTAAATTATTACAAATTATTACAATAACAATATCTAAATTTTATTCTTTTCCTTTACCGTCTTCTTGCCTAAAGTGCAAGCTCAGCATATATTATGCAACCAAATTCTTTGTTGTGTCTAGCAACCAAGAATTAATGCCAATGCACTGGCCTTGATATATGTTACATATTCAAAGTTCAGTGCCACTGCACTTAACAAAAAATATAATGCAAATATTCAAGTTCAGTGCCACTGCATTTTACCAAATTAAATAATGCAAAGGAAAGTCAAAATTTGGATATTGCTAACATCAGCATATATGTTCAAATTTTACAATAATTGTTTTACATATAGATTAATATATTTATACTAATTAAATGTGTAAATCTTGATATTGTACAATAATAATAATAATACAATTTTACAATAATAATAATTAAATGTGTGAACACGTAGCAAAAGTAAATAAACAAATTTCATTAAGTGTCGCCTGCTCCCGTGTGCAGAGCATCGTCATTATCATCGTCAAACTCTCTGGGGCAGACGAAAAGCACACAAAATAAAAATGAAAATTACATGAACATATGCCCACGTACACACACGCACATGCATACATATGCACACACACACATATATAAGTTTCGTATGCGGTGAAATATTCAAGCAGTAAGCATTTATGTGACAAGAAATGAGAAACAAAGTAAAACGAGGCGATGTACAAATTTGAAAAAAATGTACTTACACTGCCACACTGGCACACTTGGTACTTTTGTTTGTGCTTCGTTTATACTTCAGTGTGCAATGGTGTCAAATGGATCAATGGGTACCACTTGCGAAATTCATACACAAGTGCACACATTCATACTTAAATGTGAGAAAAAAATATATATATTTAATACTTAAATAACAAATTTCAAATAAGGAAAGCAGGTTGCGGAGAGGAGTACTGGGAAGTTATTTGTTGTTATAGTTCCTTTTGTCTGGCAGAAACTTTCTATTCCATTAGTATTAATGTCCCTAATTGAAGATGTTTTACATTCGCTTGTAATCTAGAAGAGGGGACATATTTATTTAATTGAAGAAAATATCCTTAAGGTATGTTCTTATGGTTCCGCTTAGTTTTATTGTTATCTTTTTAATTTATTAGAGTAGTTGCTTTTAATGCTCAGCAATTAAAATTACTATCTAATATTAGATGTATAATATACGTGGTAATTAAGGTAGATACGAATATTTGCATATTTACTTCATTTAGACCGATGAGGTTCATGCTGTAAAATTACTTGAAATTCAAAAAATTCCTTTAGTCTATCACTATTCGATATCTTTGTTACCTCTTTATTGTATATGTACTTGCAACTATTAATTTATTCACTTCATTTAGACCGATGAAGTTCATAAAATTACTCGGAATTTAAAAATTCCTTTAGTCTACCAATATTCGATATCTTTGTTAGCTCTTTATTCTATATGTATTTGCGACTATAAGCATATTCACTTCATTTAGATCAATGAGGTGTATGTTGTAAAATTACTTGGGATTTAAAAAATTCCTTTAGTTTACCAATATTAGGCAAATTTGTTAGCTTTTTATTCTATATGTATTTGCGGGATTTTATAAAACACTCAGCAGTGACAAAAAAAAAGGTTAAATCTACAGATTATATATATCTATACTCGGTACCTTTGTTAGTTCTTCAAGAAAACAATGGGTCATCAGCCAACTCTGAGCTTCAAATTTGGCAGGACATAAGTTTGGCTCCTAGTACTTGCAGTCTCAAACAATTAGTTACAAATCATTAAATACAAGAATTATTTCCCAGACCACTGATGACGGACATCTAGCAATACAACTGTATGGTCAACCAAAAATTCAATTAATTTAAATAATATAAAAAAAGAAGTTTTGTTGTTGTAGTACACTATTTTTCGAAAACCTTCTTTAAACAGTAATGCAGAAAAGAGGAGAATAATGAACAAATTAATAATAAACAACAGATAATCAAAAAATAAAAACAAAAAATGTTTTTTTAAAATGACGAGCAGTACAATTGCATAGACATACTGTATAACTTATATATGTCCATAATCGTTACTTTAACTAGTTTTACCTAGAAAGTATTGTCCTGCATGCAGTTTCAGATTCTTATTAAAAAAAAAAACAAATTGAACAGCGACAGAAAATATTCTCAAATCTGTATCATACATTCTGTTCCAAAATTCTAATGCCAATACAAGAGGTTTCCGACATTAACTCAAGGACTCTTAAATAAATACACTATCCATTCATCTCAATCTCTCTAAGAGGACATTACATGAAACAATTACAAAATATTAAAGCTGCAACTTCCACACGAAGTACGAATTAAAAAACAAAAGGTAAAATCAGTAAATAATTTATATTAAATTTGTTAATCGTTAGTTGTGGATTTGCAGTATAATAGTAAAACAAATTTTTAGCTAATGAGAATTATAAATTTTGTACACATACATTAAGTATATTGCTAGTGTACAACAAACAATTTTTTAGATAATGAGAATTATAAATTAATAATGATGTTTTTTGTCCAGTACGTTTTGTTATTTTAAATTATAATTTTTATTAGGCTACTCTGGTCTTGTAACTGGGATGCAAATAAAAAATTAATTTATTTCATTTTTTCATTCTCCGTTTCGTAATTATATCCCCTTATTTCACATTCCTTTAGCATCAAATTGCATTACTAATAATAACACGATTTGATAAAATTTCCACTGGGTGTAACTCCGAAAATATTTCCCGCTGGGTGTTCGCTTGTGATGTACGCTTCATTGTTAATAAGTGCCTGTTTGCATGTGTATTTGACATTTAAAACGACAATTCTGTAGCACCGCAACTGCCGCAAATAAAATTACAAAAACGGTATCGAAGCAAATGAAATGAAAATATTTTCAATAAAAACAATAACAAAACCAAATGCTGCAACGCCCGAACTTGGTTCAGTGATGCTTTAAGAAAAATATTGACTGCGGAAAACGTGCAGCTCAGTGTCACTGAGACGACATGAATACAAGGCAAATTAATGAGTTAATAAATGTTTAAATATACAAAAATCGTTGAATTATGATTCAAAAACAAAGTAGAAACTTGTTAATTTTAAATTCATTTAACTAGAAGCAAATAACTGAAGAAATATTATAATAACTATAAAATTTAATTGCAGTTTCATAATTTATTCCTTAACGCATGAAAAATATTTAATATTGTTGGAAACCCTGCCGGATGTGTTGTTATCATAAAATAACATAATTGTTCTTTTCATAACAATAGCCTTAAAAATTTTAATTAATTATGTAAAAACACAAAATGACTTAAGGCAAAATGTTAACTTCTTCACGTTCCACTAGCTTAGATACGCATATATCAGTTATATAAAACAATTAGTACGTCGGTCTGAAGTTTCAAATGAATATAAGATAAGTATTCAAATTATTCATAAATATTCATTTAGTCAGAAACTTTAATATAAACATTATAATTTTTATGCTTATAATATTTATGTTTATAATATAAATCAAATTGCAGTGTTGATGTAAGTATATAGTAAAATTATTGTAGGTTTCTTCTTATATAGGTGCATATGTACTTAAGTCACTCAGATCTATTCAAATAAATAGGTAGGAAAGATAATATGGAAAGATAATATAAGATTTCTTTTATTTCAAATGGTTATATAAAATTCACACATAGTTCAATGGATTTATATGTCTATCATAAGACCTATACTGTTATTGTAAAGTTACCGGTGTTACGTGGAAATAAATATTCCATGACAAATGGAATAGTATTGAAATTTAACAATTAAAAATAAAAAAATATAATTAATTATGGGCTGGCTCTGAGAAGATTTTTCAAAGTTCCATGGTACAATGATATCCTCAGGGACCTCAAGATTGATCCCATCAAAATATGCATAAAGGATAGAGCCGTGAAATTATTTGCGAAAACTGACAGACTTACCAACACCGCGTTATCAACTCTCAAAATGGTTACAGGGTCCTCGGGGAGGTATGCAGATCTGTGGTCCATTATTGCTTAGTCTGATGAAGTGATAAACAATAATCTAGTCAAGGTGTAGAGAAGGGTTTTGAAGAAACCTCGAGTTAAAAAAGAGTATAAGTGCATAATAATGAGCTGGTTTATGATATCGTTCTAATAAAAACGCAGCAAGTAAATATGTTAATAAAACCTTCACAGCAAAGTAAAAAAACTCCAGAAAAATGTGGTTAATGAACACTGACTCTGAGCTTCAGATTAGGCAGGGCACGAATTCAATCTCTTGCATTTGCTGTCCCAAAAAAATTATTAACGAATAATTAAATATAAGAATTATTTCGAAGACCATTGATGATGGATATTTGGCAATAATCTAAACAGCTGTATGGTCAGCCACAAATTCAATTAATTAAAATAATATAAAAATGAATTTTTGTTGTTGTAGTTGACTACTTTTTAAAAAACCTTTTTATAAAAAATAAACCAATTCCATGCTGTCGTTTCATGAAAAGAA